AGTCGGAGACAGCTGAGCAGTAAATTCAGAGGATGGCGAACAAAGGCCTCCATTCATGGGACAGAAACTGACTGCACTCATCAGGAGGAAACAAACTAATTATTATTAATCTTTAATGAAATATTTGATCAAGGTTAAATATTTTTGAGGTCATGTTTTTGCATTGATATCACATTTTGGGTTATGCACTGGACTTCCAACATTATAAAGGCGAACAAAAGCGAATATAATGTATCACTATGTACCATAAGGCGAGTCAGTGTGTTTCTCTTTTTACTGCTTAAAAAGAAAATCAATTTTCACCATGTTTTTACGAATCAAGTATCATATAAATCAGGCTATGAATGATATATGAACACACCCCTCTGTAAAAACCTTCAGACTATAGATAGGAATACAGACAATAGACTGGACTGGTCTACAAGAACAGCCAGAGTCGCCTCTGTTTTCAGAGGAGGCTGAGATCCTTCAACATCTGCAGAACAATGATGAGGATGTTTTATGAGTCTGTGGTGGACAGTGCTGTCCTGTTTGCTGGGGCAGCAGGTTGAGTGTAGCAGATGCCAACAGACTCAGTAAACTGAGTCGTAAGACCAGTAACGTCGTCAGGGTGGAGCTGGACTCTCTGGTGGCAGTGTCAGGGAGGAGGATGCTGTCTAAGATTTGTCTCATCTTGGACAATGTCTCCCATCTACTCCATGATGTGCTGGTCAAACACAGGAGCACATTCAGTGATGGACTCAGTTCCCCAAGATGCACCACAGAGTGCCACAGGAAGTCATTCCTTTCTCAGTATATGACTTTATTCTCATCAACACCTCTTGAATGTATATATTTATTCAACATACAATGCACATAACTGTACATAGTATTTCTTTCATTTACTCTTATTCTATTCTTCTTTTATTCTATTGATGTACGTATACATTTTAATTAAATTTTCACACTTTTCACACACAGCCTCCGCATAGTGACGACATATATTTAATTTTTAATATTTTCAATATCTTAAGTACTAGTATTAAACACTGTAGCATACTGCATTTTATTTTTTATTTTAATGCACCTTTCTTATTTCTATTTAATTGAATTAGAAGAAGTTTATTTAACTTTATGTAATTTTATTTTTATTTCATTTTATTTTAATTTATTGCTTTGTATTTACATACTTATATTTCATACTCTTATTTTAACTTCTAATAACTTCTAATGACTTATGTGCAGACAATATTTTTTTTTTATTATTTTTTTTGACATTCGATGTTTGATATTAATATGCAAATGTTTTGGTTTTTTGTTTACATAAAATACCAGAACAGAAATTTAAACCAAACTAAATTACTAAATGTGTATTTTGGAGGTTTTTTAAAAAAAAAAAAAAAAAAAAAATTAACATAAAAAAATAAATACATAAAAAAAAATCAACCAAAAAAGCAACATTAAAAAAAGAACAAAAAAAAAACATGGTATGGAATTGAAATAGCCCAAAATCTTTAAATTAACCACTGCATAAAAAAATGTTTCCACCTATAGTGTTTCCTCTTGATGTCTAAATATAGAGGTATTTACAAGACTCCCCACAAAGCAACAATACTGTTTGATAAGACAGGGTGTTATCCTGGTCAGAGGTGACATCATCAACATACCTTTACAGCGAGTGGCGAGAAGAAAAGGAGATTTCTAGCATTTGTCAACAAAGGTTTTGAAACTATAGCAACCCAGGTCAGTGGTTACCATGGGGACAGCCACAGTTTGCATTCCCCACATAGGCGAGATGGAGCTAGGATTCACCCTGCCGTCTCCTTGACGCCCAGCCTGAGAAGTGGTGGCACGCTTTCACTCCCAAATAAATCCAATCTCTGTGTGCATCTCACTGTCTCTTTTATTTGTCAGACAAACTTGGTCGTGTGATTGCCGTGAGTTCGGCCTCTGACATGGCAGCTTGTGAGTTTGAAGACTGTGAACACACACAGCTCGCCGTCTTGAGACACGTTAACATGGGCTTAATCTCCTCTCCTCTGCGCTCACACTCGCATACACTAAGAAAACTCCAAGCAGGGTGTGTAACTGTGGGAAGGCTGATCGTCTTTGACAAGTGCACAGTGAGGGCAGGAGGTCCAGGGTTGGGGGCCTGTCGGATGTAAAACACACATGCTTTGATGTGCACTTCCAACGTGCCGGAGCCATAGCAAACTGATGCAGCTGTAAGTCTTGCATCAGTGGACACATCAAATCAGTGCTGAAAATACAGTATGAGTTAGACTTAGTGACATTTAGAGGTGCTCCCTCCCCTGCATTGTTAAACCAGCACTGCCAAATGTGTGTAAAATAAGACTTTACGATGAGTATTATCTCTCATATGTAATATTTGTAGATCAAAATGACCAAAGCACTTTCACATCTGAGGTCAGTGTGGGTTCAGCCCCCTCAAATGTTAATATACACCAACTCAGACACATGCTCCTCAGTGATGCCGCTGCGGATGATTATGGTGAAGATGAAGGCTATTACTGTCGCTTGACCTACCTGCTTATGGCGAGAAGAAGAATCAAAGGACCCAAACAGACCCCCCTCCGCTCTCCGCAAGCTGTTTTCCAAGACGGCAGAGGCAAAGTATCCAGATTATTACAAATATCTGCTCCTTCTATAGCAGAAGAAATAAGGAGGCCTCATCCCCTGCTAATGCTCCCTGCAGAGGCCTCGTTTGTTTCCCATGAGATGGAGGAGGATCCGCTCAAATAAAAGCTGACCTTCTGGAGTTCACAGCATCCTCAGACTTTCAGGCTCCTTGTGCAAACAGAACATGAAAAATGCTTTTTGCTGGAGCCGTGCCCTAACATTCATATGCGTCAAGATTCATTTGTTATTAAAGCTTCCTTTTGAACATCTGAAAAGTCTCTTGCACCACATGAATGTAAGAGTAAAAAAAGGCCAAAGTATTAAGATGTTATCAGCTTTTATATAGTGAAATCCCCACTTTAGTCTGATTAGATCATAAATATACTTTCTCCTTTAAGAGCGTCTGAGCAGCAAATCTAATAGTCGTGCTAATCAATCATCTGTCAGCGCCAACCCCCATCCTAATGAGGTAAGACTTTCATAGACATGCCTCTCCAGAATTACAGTATATTAAATTAATCTGTCAAGTGTTATAAATCAAGACCCCTGTCTGTGAATAATGCCATGTACACTGGAGCTCCAACTCAGTGATTCACAGTCCTGCAGCATCACAACTGAAACTGGACAAACATGCCTGTTGTATGTGTGCTAACTCACTGTTAGCATGTTTCAGGAATTACACTCATTCACTTTTTCACTCCCATGCTAATACACATGCTAATGATACGCATGTAGTTGCAGCTAGAGGACATTATCTTAGCTTAGCCATAGACTGTATAAAAGAAATGGACGTAACCATCCTGACATCACATTTTGGTTTGTGGACTGTAATTCTGGAGACTTGACTTTGGCAATTTGGCCGTCACCAGAAGTGACCATATTTAGACGAAGAGGTGGAGCTGTGAAGGAGTGAGGGGTGGATCTGACTGACTGACTTAAAACAAGCCACTGAAATCGTAAACTCAACAGGAAAATGTTAACTGAGGTAATATATCAAGTGAGAAGTCCTGACATTTTCTCATAGACTTCAATATAATCTGACATCTTTTTGCAACCCTTGGATTCTTGTCACTGAGAAATTGCCAACAACATGTTGTAGGGGTTAAACAAATGATAAATAATTTATTAATTAGTGAATTCAAGAGGTGCTGGTGGGTAGATTTTTTTTTAAATTTGAACTGAACCAGGGAAGTCTTCATGCTGCCTTCATGCTAGGCTAAGCTAACAGGCTCCTGGCAGGAGCTTCATGTTTACCCTGCATTTGTGTGGTGTCGGAATAATCAGAAAAACGTGAACACCACCTCAAGTTGGAACAATAACTCAGAGAGTCAGCAAAAATTCTGGTACGAGTTCCCAAGTTGACTTCATATGTGCAGACTCATATGAGACGAAAGTGTTGGGTTGATGGTAATGAACTTACTGTGTGTCAAGTTTTGCTCACATGTAATTTGTAATATGGTATTAGGTTGTGACTGTTAGTTGCTGACCATGTAGAGTTACCTAGATTAGTTAGAAAAGGCATCTGTCAGGTAAAGCAATGTTTAGTAGTTCTGGGGGAAGTGTTGGTGCAGCAACAAGTCTGGGAGAAAATCCATTTGTAATATAAAGCTTCAAACTGTTTCACCACATTTTGGATAGCAACATGAATCTTAACTGTGACATTAAATGCTCTTAGCGTACATAGCCTCCATGTTTTCATCACATTACGACTCAAAACCTTATGACTGCATCGTAGTCGGAAGAACAACCTTACCAACTTGAGAAATGAGACCAGTCTACAGATATCAGAGATATTGAACTTATCGCAAGTCAGCAAATAAGCCTGTTTCCCCAAAATGTCAACAGCTAAATAAAACACCAGATCACTCACTTAACTGATCAAATAAAGGTACAAAGTTTCACAAAGATGTCTCAAGTGTTGGGATATCAGGCAGATCACAGAAACCTGAAGGAGAAAGAGAAAAAGAAAGAGAGGTGAGAACCAAAGGGTGGCTTTACAACGCTCAGCGGGCCCCCTGGCACAATTGTCTGGAGGCCTGCCAAGTGCTCACATTCCTCCCTTTCTTTTGGGACTCAGAGGTCTGCGGTGGCAGAAAGTGGCTGGGCGAGCCTGGCATCAGGGTCACGGTAAATCTGCAGGCAGAGGGTAAGAAAGGAAAAGGGTAAACAACAATAACAGGTGGGAAAGCGGCTTGGAGAGGGAGAGAGATCAGAAGTAGGAGGCAGCTCAGCCCTCCCTTGCCTTCATTGTCATCGACTGGAGGGAGGTGCTCAGCTGGGAACGGGGAGAAAGACACCAGCACTGAGGGAGAGGACTCACACACACACACACACACACACACACACACACACACACACACACACACACACAATGTGAGAGACATGGGAGTGTGATCAGAGCTGGAATGGGTTGGTCTGTACTGTAGGTTGCTCTGCAGACCTGTTTCTGGAGGGAAGCAGAGGGGCTGGACACAGGAGACGGACACAGGAATTCCAGGTCACAAGGGCTCCTGTGGCAGAGCACAGCCTCGGCTGGGCTGGTATTCCAACCTCTCCCTCTCACGGTCATGAGTGTGACGGACGTAGAGTAGAACCACGGAGGAACAGATATTAAGAAACAGAAAGTGGTGTGGTGTATTCTAGGGAAACTAAGAGACTTTACCTCAAGGGTCTGGACCGACCCCTCATGATGGGATCCTCTGTGGAGTTTGCCTGCTTGCTGCTGGTGGTATCCACTCTGGGAAAGAACCACTTGGTGTCTGCGGGTTGTTCAGGGAAATGCTGCCGGGGCAGAGACTTGAGCTGTCTGACCACCGACTGGAGGATGGACCGTGTGTTCGGGACATGCTTCTGCGATGAGGGTTGCGTCAGGACCAAGGACTGCTGCTTCGACTATTTCAAAGAGTGCCCAGGTGAGGGATGAACGGAGGAACCGTCGCAAGTACTGTTTGTTTTTGTGCACACACCTTGACTATACGATCCCAGCGGGAGATAACCTGTCGCATGAGATAACCTGAACTCCTGCTGAAGATAGATTATCGGACAGACGATAAAGATAGCTGAGGAAGAAAGATTATTTTCAGTATCAGGGTTGCTTATCACGAAGTGTATCTGCGATGATAAAGTTTGGGGTGGATGTGCTCCAAATCCACCCAAGGCATGTGAAATCGTCCGTGCACATTTATCACCTTCTAACTTCTAAAAACGATCTCAGCCCTTATTTGTCTTGTGCAGCATGCGACATGGCTGCTGCATCACAGGTCAGTTCGGCTCTGGGTCTAACCTCATTTCAGTGGACTGGCCCACATAATGGAATTAGCACAAATATTTGAAGAATGCGATTCTGTCAATCAGATGTAGCAATTACAGTTCCAGTCAAACAAGCCGAGCGTACCTAACGTGTGTTATAGGTCGGTCGTGACTAAATCTGCATGCTTAGCGAATCAAAGCTTGATCATCGAGCACAGACAGTGACTGAAAAGAGAAATCACAGGACTTGGAGATTGAATGGGCTGCTAACTTGGCATGCTCTCAAACCACTTGTAGTAGAGCAGGAAACACTAATTCTACAAGTCACAATCAATGCTTCATTGATCTTAAGTTATTTCCTGGATATTTAGCTCCATGACACCGTTTCACAAGAAACTTGTAATTATACAGTCTGCAAGAAGGCTGCAAGGTTTTACTGTGAGTGTCACCTCTGCACACACTGAGAACTCCAGGAATCAGAGTTAGGTTCAACATCGGTGAGTTTCAAAGCTGTTTGATTGTTTGCTACCACAGAGGATATCCTGTAACAATCTTTCTCCAATATGGGTGCCAACATCCAGCTCAGGACTGCGCTGTGAGCGACTGGAGCTTTTGGAGCGGCTGTGCCAAGCCCTGTCAGCCTTCAGTGCGAGTCCGTGTCCGTCACGTAGAGCAGCAGCCCAGTCACAGCGGAGAGCCCTGCCCCAGCCTGGAGCAACGGAGCGGCTGCAGGGAGTACAGAGACCACCAGGGCCGACACTGTGGACTCAACTCAGGTATACAGATACACAACTATTCTCTTGCTCTTCCTTTTAGCACCTTGAAAATACTAAAAGAATATTGTTTATGATCAGGTCCTGCCTTCATCACCAGCATGGAGTTTGGCAAGGGAAGGCCCAAACATGACAACTATGGAAACCCCCTGCAGCCTGGGTAGGTTTCACACCACGCTCCCTAAGTATTCTGAAACTGCACACGACCTCAGGTATCTTTAAATTCAAGAGTTGAAAAGTTCATGAATGCAGCCAGGGGTTAACCTCATTTTTGCATTATGCTGTGTAACCCAAACCACTTGGGGAAAAAAAAAGATAACTTTTCCACAGTGTGCGTGAGCCACCAGTAGGTGTTTGCTCACCTGGAGGTCTGTCTACAAAGCTTTAAATATAGCAAATGCTGAGAGACTGGCCACAGTCCTTTGAAATGTAATACTCAGACTTTAATAAGGACTGTCACATGAAAAGCACATGCACAAAAGGTCTAGATGACAGCAGGTGAGTTATTGTGTGCAGCTTACTGGGTACTCATTGGCTGAATTATTATTTTATAAGGGGCGTGTCCAAACTGCAGACTGGTGAAGCAAATTATCGCAGTCCCAAGATGATGCCCTCCTATTGTGTACATTTACTGTAGTCCTATATCTTGATTCACTGGCTCCAATATCCCAGGAGTGACTGTGACCCTCGTGACCCTGCTCCCACTCCCCTCAGGTTCTGTGTGGAATTCACACTGGAGTCCCGGACGCCCCACTGTACAGTGCAGAACCGGCCACACACACACTGGATGCGCTACATTACAGAGGGCTTTAAAGTGTGTGTGGCGTGTGAACCTCCTGCCATGCGAAACAACAGTGGCAGCTGCCAAGGAGATGGTCAGGAATCAGACAAGTATGGACCTTTGTATGTGTGGTCTCTCAGGTTCACACAAACCTGAAGTACTTTTTTTTCTTATTATGTCATTTTATCAGTCTTTAATCTATTCAAACAAAAACTTGGGTATTTTTCAACCCTATTTACCCATGTTTTTGTGTCTAAGTGACTGATGGGAAATTGAAATTGGTCCTGTGATGACACCATTGCAGCTGCAGCAGCAAACAGGCTGCAATGTAATCCTTACAGGCAACTGTGTACCGTCAATTTACGTCCATTTAAGGTTCTTGTTTTTGTCACCGACAGATTGTTGTCAGAGGTGTCTGAAAACATTACGGAAAAACCCCCACAGAGAAATTAAACTCTTTCCGTAAGAGGCGGGTTCACCCTGGACAGGTCGCCAGACTATCACAGGGCTGACACATAGAGACAGACAACCATTCAAATCTACGGACAATTTAGAGTCACCAATTAACCTCTATGTCTTTGGACTGTGGGAGGAAGCCGGAGTACCCAGAGAAAACCGACACTTAAGCTCCCTCAGCCTGGGGATCAAACCTTCTACCCCAGGGTTCAAACCAGGAACAATTTTGCTTTGAGGTGACAATGCTAACCACAGCACCATCGTGCCACCACCATGAGTCAGTTTGTTAATGTGGAATAAAAGTATTGCCTGCACACTTACTCCACGCCACACAAGTTTAATGAAGACAGTGTTTCGATCTTTCTGAGATCTTCGTTAGATCAGAATGTTTGAAAGTTTGAAACCATGCCTATATTTACACATGATGCTCAGCAATAGGCTGACAAGTTCTATGATGGCAGGTGTGGTTTACAACCAACCACTAAGGGTGGTGAAACAATTGACAATCAACAACTCAATAAACTACGTAGAAAACACATAGAAAAAAGTACATAGTGAAATAACTGTAATGCAAAGTCCATACTACAAAGGTATGAGACACATGTCTCAATTAATATAACATCATAATTTTATATCAAAATCACCTGCAGCCAAATTGTATTAATGAGTTAGAGGTGGGACTAAACAAAACTCTAATACATGCAAACATTGGGTCTAAAACACCTTTCTAAAAAAAAATAGATCAGTTTGATAAAAATTTGTCTATTTGTTACTATGACCATGTCTTGCTCTGCAAAAAGTCTCGTTTTGAAATCTCACAGGAGTTGTTGCAGGAAAAACAACAGCAGAAACATCAGTGACAGTTAGAAAGAGGAGTGCCAGGAAGAGTGTGCGTTGTTTTGGGAGTACATAAAGTGTAGCTTAGTTTCTAAAACATGTTTAACACCATGGCTGAATATTTAGCTAATTTCTACACTGTAGAAACATGAGCAAGGTTTAAGAAGAGACCTCTGGAAGGAGATATAAGCAGGATTTCTACTTTCTCTATGCAGAGCCTACGCCATCGTGAGAATTTATACTTGTGCTGTGGTGTGTTTGTGTCACTCCACGGTTACACCTCCAAAACACTCGTCAGCGGCGGGGTTTCTGTGCAGTGCTGTAAAGTTACGTTAAATCAAAACACACATTAACCATGGCTTAATAGAGACAATTTCAAATAAGTTGGTTTACTATACCTCGCAGCATTCACAGACAAAACACTTGTCTTTCGCTGGACACATTTTCCCCACAAATACAACATGCTATCATTATTAGCACAAGCCTATGGCATTTTACATTGTATAAATTAGCCTAGCTACGTGCGGAGATTACCTCTGCTCTTATGAAGCCAGGATAAATCACACACAAGACTTAAAATGCTATTTTTGTGGAGGCTTTATTGTCTTCACAATTTATTGTTTATCTGTGAAATCAAAGTAAATAAAAGCTTTGTTTCCACTGAGGGAAATGGTGTCAGCTTACAGAAACAGACAGGAGGTCTGTGTCACCGCAATGTGTAGTTACATATCTGAGGAGGTGCATGTCAGGCTACGGCGTAGGTACACCATCGATTCGACACAGAAGTATAAATGCTGCTTTAGTCACACACAGACCGGATAAGTGCAGGGTATGGAAGAATGTTTTATGTCTCTGTAAAGTCTGGTTTCTCAGTTGCAGCGGCCAGTTTTAAAATGTTTTGCCTTCATCAGTCACTCAGACACAAAAACATAAGAAAATATGGTCCAGGTTTAAAAATACTTAAGTTTCCCTTTAACATTTATAATCAAATAATCTGAACTATTGTGCTGCACAGATTAATGTATAAAACTATGCATGTGGCGATGTGAGAACCATAAACACTGGGGGCTGTGACTGTGTTGCAGAGAAACTCTGCTCCACTGGCAGGCGGTGGGGAACCATCAGTGCAGCGGGACGTGGAAGAAGATCCAGAAAACCCAGCAGTGCGACTGTCCGCCACAACACAGCTTCATCTTCATCTGATCCAAACAAAGCACCCACAGAACATTCTGTGTCCACAATAACATTTCAAAGCTGCCCTCATCGGTCAGACTGAAATACTGTGCTCGGACCAGATGCCACAACACTGCAGGCTTTCAACACAAAGCAGAGACTTGATGGTGGTGCAGTGCAATTACGTCTCTAATATATATATAAGCTACACACTGATATACAGCATGAAATCACCATGCACATTGTTCTCTATAAGTTTGCACCACACTGATGTATCTTGTACAGTATTTCACCTGTTTTTTAGAACACATTCAGCACCTATCAATGTTGATTTTGCATATTTTTATTGTAATACGCCACTGTTGTGTTTGTTTTTTAACATTTTTCTGTAAAAATGTTTAACTTAAAATTCTAAAAATGTGTTACATTTGTGAGCTGATTCTTTTTAAGGGTACAAAAACATGATTCCTCATCATACAAACAAAACAGCCCCAATCATTGGTCTGTGTTGAGCGCCCTCTGGTGGTGATATTTCTTTAGTGCAATTAGAGCAGAACACAACACAGCTACAATATGACGGACCAGTTTGGACAGTGGGCTGAAAGGTGTTAACTGACCAAGGTAACCAGTACCAGGTTTCATTGACAGGTAACTGCTACAATGCACAAGTCAAACATGCACACTTACAAACTTTGCAAACTATCAGAAGCATCATATAATAAAAACAACAAGCAACAAACCAAAATCACAAAGGAAATCTTCGGCAATTAGCCAACAGCTGATAACATTAATTCATTATTAATATTTACAGGTAAAGTGCTACACTGTACAAATCAAAAGGGTCGCTCTTCCCTTCTTCAGCCTACTTTATCTGCCCTCATCAGAACTCTCCAGCGGTCTTTGAGCATGGTGCCAGTGCGTCCTTCAAAGTCATAATCCTTTAAAATGCGAGACCACTTCCCCTGGCCGTGACGTTTAACTCCATCCTTGAGGTATTTGTCCAGCTGGGGGGTCCATTTCTAAACATAGTTAAACATAAGGAATTTATATTTTGGGAACCTAGACAGAAGGTAGTATTTGAGTGATGATGCATATATTCACATGATTTGGGATTAAAGCTGCAGTTGGTAATGTTTTGCTGAAACTGTCACAAAATCCACACAGTTGTACATGACACAAGGGTTGCAGCGATACACTGGTTTTAAGGTAAACCGTGATATCAAAGTTGATGGTTATCATACTGTGTACATTTGCTGATCTAGGATATTGGGGAAAAATGCAGCTGGACAAAGAATCTCCCCTTCATTTTACTTATTTTCAAAAGGAGACTTTTACACATACTTCCATTAACAAAATGGTTTTAAGTTTCGTTAGTTCAACCAAAAATAAACCTCATATTTGCATTCCTTTAAGGGTCCACAGAACAGAATTTATCTTATTATCAGTCAGAATGACTGATAATAAGATAAATTCTGTAATACCGTGAAACCGTGATCATTTCTGAGACAGTTATCGTACCGTGAAAATCTACATTGCAACCCAACATGAGACAGATGATCTGTGACCAAAATCATGTTCCTCCTCCTCGTAGTGCTTCTAAGGGCATTTCCAAGAATCCAACACAAGTTAAAGACAATAACCAATCAGAGCTGAGGAGTCTCTAATGCAGCTGTCAATCACTCCATGAATTGTGGTCAAACCGTCAAACCAGACAGTGTTGATCAAATATGAAACAAGACTGTTGCTGTAGTGCCTATTTCTCCTCTAAAATGTTTTCAGAGACATATTTCAGTGTACTGTTTAGCTGTAAAATGAGAACGTTTGTTACCAGGCTGACATGTTGAAAAAAGTTGAGCCATAAGGAAGAATTGCCCACTGGCTGGAGCAAACTTACTTATTGCCGCAGTGTCCTCTGTATGAGGTTTGCACGCCAGAAAATGAAGCAACACCCCTTTCCTGTGCAAGGGCTCCAAATTTGTTGTAGTGTTTGGTCGCTCACCTCTGACTATTTATAACTAGGCAACAACTGCGCTATTTATTTCAACCAAGGAGTTCAATAGGCAAACAGAAATCTCCACACCTCTTCAGTCATAGACCACACTCAGGGACAAATGGCCTTAAATTATTGGACATGAAAAAGAAGAAGAACATGAAATACCTCGAGTGGTGACCCCAGGGACACAAAGTGATAAATTATTTTGACTTGGAGATAAACAAGACATAATTACAGTACACAAATGAAATGTTTAGGGATACGTTGGTGTTTACTGCTGTTGCCAGGCAGCCCAGTTTTCTAGCACATCGTTCCGTGTGTACTTTGTGCTTATCTACAGAATATTTTGTTTGTACGACGCCTGGCGTTTCAAAGCACAATGCAACAAACGACACATTGAGCATGAACAGGGGTGCTACATCTATGCTGTTGGAACACGCCACAGTCTCTTGCACTATTATAAACAAAGCTTAGAGACTCCTCGGCTCCGTTTGGTTGTTTTCCTTCAGCTGTGTTGATTTCTTGCAAACACCATTAGAAGCACTACGAGGAGGAGGAGTTTGACTACATACACTACAGTGGATATATATAAAAGTTACCCACTGTATCTTTAATAAGTAGACAGTGACTGAGCTGCGTGGTTCAAATTACCTGAGGTAGTTTCCTTGTTTTCTGGATCGTTGAGGTGTCCTCTGACTTCACAGCTGTCATCTGAGACACCTCTGGTGGCGAGAGGTTTAACATTCTCTTTAGCCTTTATTCATGCTCAGAAATGTGTATGAAATATATAATGTGGTGGTGAAGGTATTTCTACATTTTACAGAAAACTACTCTTACATTAGATTAAAGCAATATACATTTAGTTTTTAGCAGAAAAATCAAAGCCAGAGAAAAAATACAACTTACCGTGCATGGCGAGTCTTTTGACAGAGACAATGGGTGTCTTGCAGCAATCAGTTTGCCATACATCTGTAATTTTAGTTGACAGTAGTTTCCGTTTTGTCCTGTGGAAGTGTAATACAGCGACAAATTATTTGTTGCTCCACAGCTTGCTGAATGTCTACCTTTACCCAAACTGACAGCAAAAGCCAAAACAATATATTTCTTATTGAAAAGACATTACTAACCTCAACTGCACAGTGCTCTTCTTTTTCCTGTAAGGACGTAAACAGTACAGTGTATTGTTCAGTACAAAATAGAAAAGGATTTGGAGTAAATTCCAATACACCCAACTGAACTGGAGGAGTTAAAGGTTATTTCATACTTTCTCTCCACCGCTGATTTGTTTTCTTCCTCTGACAGAGCGCTCTCCTCCTGCGTCACCATGTCCTCCAAGCCGTCAGTGTTCTGTGACGACTGCACCACCTTTGTGGCTTCCTGATAAATGAAGAGGCAGACAGACAGACATAAATTACCTTCCCAAATATTACCTTTTCATACTCTTCCAAAACAATTAACTTTCAGGCCTAAGTATTGCTATAATGTGAAAGCAAAACTAATGAGGCCTGTCATTAAAACACCCTTCTAACTTTAACCTTGGACGCCAGCCTCTATGTAAATCACTCTTAAAACCTTCATGAATAAGCGGGTCTGTTGGACGCTGAGGAGGACTCAGCCGTATGTAGCAGTTTGCCCTTCCAACTAATTCTGATGACAAATTGTCAATTAACTATGACTGATAATGTCACATCAGCACCTTCGGTTGGTCAAAGCGCCATTACTCAGGAGGGGCGAGAGCAAAGCCGAGCAGGTCCACACACAAGATCAAGAAAATGTATTGACTGCTGTTTGTTAAACCTTGCTGTTAGCTGGAGCGAATCATTGGACACCTGATGTATCAGCCGAGTACATCGTGTGTAACTGAAGATCATCTCCTTCTCACAAACAGCTCATCAGCAACAACCTTGTTTCACTTGTTTGGATCAACGGGCAGATGTTCTGAGTTAAGATTAAGTAAACACGCCAACTATATTATTCCTCCATGAGCTAGGAGGGGACTGAACCTCTTCAGTGTTGATGTCTCGCACTAAGACAGAATGATTTATTGCACAGCTATTCTTATTCCTTTACCTTTCAGCTTTACAGAGTTGATCCTTTGTTTTACCTTGGCGCTAGTCATGCAGGGCCAGCTGTACATAAATGTTTACTCTCATCATTACCAGACTGAATAAATCCTACACTGACAGAAACTTCAAGTAAGAGTCTTAAGAGTTGAAACTTGCAGCTACTTGCTATGTGCCGGTCTGCAACGTTCTGAAAACCTGCAACTTCACCAATCCAACTACATGACACTGTGTATTATCTCGATCATTTTGAGTACAAGTAATGGCTGTCTTTTTGAGTATGCGTGTATGACCTGCACACATACACCCAGCAGCAGCGACCCACTGTGAGACACCGACATGTCAACAGCCCCCGAGATGTAAATGAGCTGGACTCAGCAGGGACAGACGTCTGTTGTCAGAGACTGACACAGCATGCAAACACGCTGTCTGCTGACAGTTTGTAACTGACTTGACAAGCTGATCGGCTGTGCTGTAAAACTAGCTGCTGGGGACTTGACAAGCAGAGTTGTAGGCGACACAACCACTGGGCTTGAGTCGAGCTGAGACTGCCAAAACTTTTCCTTCCAACATTCAAAAATGGTTTCATTTCGCGGCAATTCTTTGGTCTGATCTGGGCTTTGGATTTGTGCTTTGCCTTTCGGCTGTTGTGACCCCTGTGCTTAACCAGCAGTGTCTGAATGTTGAAAGGCTGCTCCTGACTAAGAGTTTTCCTAGTCGACCAATAGTCGTCATTTAGGGCCATTAGTCGACTAGTTGCCCGGATGTTTACGATATTAATTTAATTATTAAATGATATATTTTGGGCGGGGCAACACAATGGTTTGAGTTGAAGGTGTGAGAAAGAATAGTATCAGTAACATTGTTAACACTGTGCTACATTACAGAGAAACACAAAACCGTACTAATGAACCTTCATTAATATAGGCCTATATTTTATCTACAAGTGCACGTCACACACTGAGCGAGCCGCCTGTTAATGACGCTGTGGGCTAATGGGCATGTCGCTACTTCCATGTTTCAGATGATACGTCATGTTTGTAGTCGACCAATGAAGATGAGTTTAGTGTGGAATAACCGCAGGTACCAGCCCTGTATGATTGTACTGTATGACCTACAAATTGCGATCTCTCAGCTTTAGTACCTTGAGAAGGTAGTCACAGGGATTCTTCTCCAAGTAGGCATCCAAGTAAGACTGTATCGTTTCCAGCAAACGGCTGAAGCTGAAGCTCATGAGGAACGGGTGGTAAGTGTCCCTCTGTGCCACTACTGTCGACAGCTTAACTCTCAAGTTCTGTTGAAAAAAGTCAAAGGTTAAGAATAAATATCAATCAGTCTTGGCCACCATATATTCCTGTATTAACTCTGTGCTTTTGAAAAGAAAAGAGACAGTTTGGGACAAACAGACCTGTGGGAATTCATGGTTCTTGTCAAGCCACTTGAGGACAGAGGAAGCAGACGATCTTTGGCCTTTCTCCAAGCACACAGCCACAGACTGGAACAGGGCAAATGCATCAGACACTTAATTGCAATTAGGACTAAGCATCATCAGGACTTTAGCATCGCTTATTCTTGAACTAGTAGACTGTAACTTTGTCCAGAATTACTTTTAAATCCTTCAATCACACCAGGACACATTTAAAGCCATCTCTCCGTCGATTCTGCGTACATACACCTCCAAGCAACTTGTGCGATTACCTGGACAAGCAAAAGAATGGTGATGTTTTTGAACACATTTTCATCTGCCACAGTGTGCTGTAGGCTTGACCATACTTTGGCAGCGGACATCAGAGGCATCACATGGTCATCTTCCTCAAACAGGATATCTGGGGGAAAACAGTGTATTACGTGGAAAAAAATACACCATTAAAGTGTTTTTGAGTGTGTTTACATTTGTACTTTTGTGAGTATGCAGAGTCACAAAGCAGAGGATTCATTTTAAAATCATGAGTTTGAGTTTTGAGTTACTTTTCTGGTGTTGTAGCAAACTTTGTCATCAAATCATTGGCTCCATGTTTCTAATATCTTTGCATTTTTACGTGAGCTTTACTGTCAGCTGGGATCAGTTTTGAGTGGTAAACATCCTCAAGCATAAACTGTAAACAGATCCCAAATCAGTACTTCAGGGGGTTGTCTAAGATGGAGTCTTTGAGCGGCGGCCAGTTAAGTGTCTCACACAAGAGTAAGAAAGATTATGAAAAAGGAACTGATGAACAGTGATTGCTCATATAAATGATTTCTGTACAAAATTTACAGAGTGGTTTTAAATGTTTGTATGTATTACATATATGTTTTTTGTGGTAATGACAAATATAACAAATGGCTTTATAATAATAAGGTGTTGCTGCTGAGAAACTGCGTCAAGTCATTGTAGTTTCCATAGGAATGTACTGACCTCCCTGCAGTCCTAACTTCCACTCTGAAGAACCCACACAGTATGTGTACACAGATGTCTCAGTAGACTGTGACAACTTACCCAGTTCCTTTCCATGCATGACTCTTGCCAGGAAGGCACATATGAGTGTTTTCTCATTGTGGAGGTTTCCTTTCAGAGATGAACTCTGACAAAGGGCTAAAAAAGCAAAGATAAACAAATTCACAAAAGAGTGTTAGCCACTAAGTCTTCAAAGACTCTATAAAGATATGAGGAAGGTGTCTGTAGCAGCACTGATGTAACAAATGAACGGTTTCTTTTCCTCATTATTGATATGGCAAATTCCACTGCAGCTGGGTGACCTGTTCATTATGTATTTTAAGTAATTAATAGAGTAATGTTGTTGTAGCTGGAGGAAATAAACATTTACTTCAGGCTGTTTTGGCTACTTGGCTCGGTTTTACAATGGAGGCTAGCAACTAGGCTATCCCATATAAAGCATTTAGTTGTTGCATTAATTTAATCTTGCCTTGCCCCCTCAGCACCACTGTTCCCTTACAATTTTATTTCTACATATTTTCATTGGTGGAATGTAAGTACCTTTGCACAAGTACGTAGGTAAGGACAATTTTGAGGTAACTGTATTTCACATGAGTATTTCTACTTTATTTTTCTACTCTACATTTCATATTTGATGGATGGCAAGATGGCGGCACCTGCAGACACAGTGGTTGAGAGCTCACATAAATAGGACTGTACTCTGTTTAGTTATCATATTTTAGCCTTATCCTATCTTAATGTGTGGGTATGTGAGTGTGTGTTTGGCCAGAGTGAGTGGAACAGTTTTTTCCTTTTCTGGGAGACAGCGAATTTCGTTGTATGTGAGCGTGCAATGACAGTAAAGGCATTCATGTTTTTATTTTCAAATATCATACTTTTTACTCCACTACTTTAATTTCAAAGCTTTAGTGACTAGCTTCTGTGCAGACTCATCTTATCAAGACTACACATAGATCAACTGGGGCTGCTGTTTTTAATGTTAATTTAACCAGCAACAAGGTATTTGAAGTAATTACAATGAGCTTGCCATTTATGTGTTACAACATTAAAGTGATAATGAATACATCAATAATTATTATCCAATTATACACACTATTCTGAAATGGATTATTCTGCAAAGGGAGTTTCTTTACGTTTGGCGCTTTAGGTATAATTTTGATAATGCTGTACTTTTACTTAAATACACTTTTGAATGCAGTACTTTTATTGTAACAGGGTATTTTTACACTGTAGTATTGCTAACAAGTAAATGTGAGTACGTCTTCCACGACTACGGCAACAGCTTTGGTCCCTGTTTATTTGCTTTTTATCTGCTGCATCAACAAACATTCAAACAGGAAGTACAAAGAGACCCATTTAAAATGTTTATGTTGTCAGGTTAAGCTAGCCAACCGCCACATCTCATGACGTATGAGGTTGTTTATCCTTTGAGCACAAGCTAATTTGAGTTAACGAACTTTAAAAACTTTTACCTCTTCCCAAGATATCTCCGGACTCTGAAGAAAAGCTGCCTAGACAGAAGTACAGCAGTTAGCTAACTAAGTCAATGTTAGTTAGCTTTAAACAACTCACCCTCGAGAGCCGAGACCGTTTTACTGAACTCATCAAACTTTCCCTCCTTGAACCGTCGACACAAACTGACGAACATAAAGTCCAGCATCCAGCCTGTAGCGACGGAGCTCACACGGGAGAAACTGACACTCTCATCTACATTAATCGCAGTCGTGGCGCTTCTGTTGTTAACTTCAGGCTCCATGTTTTCAGTTTTCAGTATCGGGTCCTCCTCTGGAGACATTTCTGCTGCTTCTACTGAGGAAGTTGTTTGATTTCCGCGCGCGCTCTTTTGTGCTGATTTGACGTCATTTGAGAGCTCGCAGCGCCCTCTGGTGTCCAGGAGGAGTAACTACAAATATAGCTTTTATTCAAATCACCCATATATTAGTGACTTAAATAAATGAATAAAAAATAACTAAAAATGAAATAAAATAAATTGAATTAAAATAAATTAAATTAAAATAACTGAAAATAAAATTAAATTAAATAAAAAAAATTAACCCAAGAGTACAGAAGCATATTGCATACACTTGACAAAAAAAAAAAATCTGTTTTATTGAGTATTTTTTTCTGTTTTTCAGAGTAATTTTTTCTGTTTTTCGTGGTAATTCTTTTCTATTTTTCATGGTAGTTTTTTTTTCTGTTTTTCGCGGTAATGTTTCTGTTTTTTTGTGGTATTTTTTTTTTGTGTTTTTCGGGGTAATTTTTTCTGTTTTGCTGAGTATTTTTTTCTGAGTTAAGAGAGCAACAGAACAACAGATGCTTTCATTCCTTTCTTGAGAGCTCGATATAATGGAAGCAAACATGACCCGCTTGTTTAGTTTAATCCAGTTTTACTTTGTTTTGGGTTTGAGACACTGGGAGAAACTCTTGTCTTTAAGTCATATAGATGGTGTTATCATTAGTTTGTCGACCTTAAGCAGGCACCGGTCACTTGCAGGTGCCAGGTGGGAGCTTCTCGTGAGATTTTGAAGTATCTCGTCCCCTCGTTCAGGAAAAAAAATTACCACGAAAAACAGAAAAAAATTACCACAAAAAAAAAAAAAAACAGAAAAAATACCACGAAAAACTGTGAAAAAATTACTCAGAAAAACAGAAAATATTACTCAGAAAAACAGAAAAAAGTACACCAAAAAACAGAAAAATAAATAAATTACTCTGAAAAACAGAAAAAAATACTCAGAAAAACAGGGCTTTTTTATTTGTCAATGCCAGAGCAATGACTCACAACTTTATGGCATTTTTTTCAAGTTTTGTTAATGTGTTGGGCTGCATTACAGTGAAAAAGTTAGGGGATAAAGTCTTATTTTTCAGAGAGCCAGTAGTCCACAAAATGAGATTAACCCTACTATGCCACTTGCCAAAATGCAACCCAAATGACACATTTTATGGCTTAGGGTTGCACTGCAACAGAATGCAGCTAGCTCATGTTCTAAAACTATTTTTAATTTGTTATTGACAAGGTGTCTGTACTCATTATACTCGAGATAAGACTTCATTTTGTGACTACGCCTGGATCGTGGTCTACCTGATTGCTACTGCTACTGCTATTATTATTAGTCATACTTCTACTATAATGATACACATATAATAACGATTGTCACATACATATACTATCATATATTATATATATAGTACCAAATATTCTATTAAATTATAACTAAAATAAATGTTGTTTAGCTATTGTCATAACAGTTTGCCGTGCATCTCTCTGTCTCGGTCTCTATTAATGTACGATTTTGTCATATGGATCAGCGTACATTTATAATGTTGATGTGTTCTGTACACACAACATTTATTGCACGTCCATCAGTCCTGGAAGAGGGATCCCTCCTCAGTTGCTTCTCCTGAAGTTTCTGCCATTTTTTCCCCATTAAAAGTTTTTTGGGGGTTTTTCCCTCTGAGGCAAATTGTGATTTGTAATATTGGGCTTTATGCATAAAATTTAATTGAATTGATCCCGAAATCAGGAGAATTCATACATTACAATAGCTCAGGAGTCAGACCCTAGAGAAAAAAATAGAAAGTGATTGAAAGACATACAGGGATTTAAAATGAAATAATATAAAATCTATAAACACTGTAACATACACCTCTCACTTATACTGTATATATATAATTGGTAGTTCCACAGAATAATTGTAATACACACATGCTGTGTCGTATTATCACTGAAGATATATAGAAATAAGTAAATATTATTGCACAGTAAGAGGTAAAATATTGCACATTAGGAATGTTTACCAGTGTGAATATAAAGGAATCCAAATTAAAAATGTCCCTGGTGTGTAGTCTTAAAAACTCTTAAAGATATAAGACATCCACACATAAAAAAGAAAGTCAGGACATTTCAGATGGCACCTTTCAGGCATTGTTTTCATTACATGGGGGGATGGTAACAGTTTACAGCTACACCAGAGACAAGTTTGGGATACTGGAATAAAAGAAGGCAAACATCCTATTATGTATTTACACTTGTTTTGTAACAGATACTGTAATTATAATCCTGTGTGGCACAATGGATGTAACAGATACCGTCATTCTAGCCCCATGTGATACAATAATTAGAGTGAGAATAGGCCAACACATCAGTATGATGCACAACATTGATCCTTTCTTTGAGCTTCTTGTTTTAAGGTTTAGGACGCCTGCATGGCTGTTCATGTTCAGTATCACTGTTTGGCAGCAGCACAAAAGCAAAATATAGAGATCAATTAATGCATCTAATGGAATGGAATCCATTTCTCTACAGTGATAAATGATTTATCAGCCGGTCCTGCCAGTTGCTGAGTTGTCTGCACTTTTGGATATGAAAAACAACTTTACATACCTTCTTGCTGCAAATGCAATATCTGTATTCCTTTAAACTCATATCTGTATCACTGAATGCATCCAGGAAATGCAGATTGACCTATTTAAACAGCTCGTTTGTAGAGTCGAGAACACCAGACACACAAACACATGAGTTATATACACATTTATTTGTTATTCTGCATATGCTAATAGACGTAATGGGGAACAATGCTCTACAGAAATGTTGACATACATGTACCATAACAAAGTGTTCTGTGGTCACATAATTGTTCGGACTACTACATGCATACAAAGATGTCGCTTTGTACAGAAAACAGTCTGTAGCTCAGAATGTGCTCCAAAGCTGAACAAAGAGAAAAAAATAAATCAAAATCTGTAAGAGGCAGAATACACAGAGACATAAAAAGAAAACAATGTCGCATTTTAGGGGAGCAAGGTTCGGTAAGCACGCATGAGTGACACGGACAGTACCCATTCTCTCAGAGAAAATAAAGACACAACCTTTCCACTCTGTACGGTATCACACATGATAATGCCATCATGAGACAGTAAGACAGAGCACGGTCCTCTCGCTGTCAGCTCACAGAATTAATTTCAGTATCCACACAAACATCATCCCGCGGGAATATAGCTGATCAATCCAGATCCCTTGTTTCTCTACCCTACCTGTCAAAACGAAGGATTACATGAGGCTAACACGGAGACATGATCACTACAAACAAGGGATGACAGTAAAGTTGAACGTACAGGTACAGAAATAAAAAAAGCTTTAAAAAGAAGGTTATCATTGAACCTTCCTTTGTAAAGAAAAACCCCAAACAACAACAACAACAACAACCGCTGGCCTACTCTGGAGAGTACCAATCTGTTTCCAATGAGGGATCAGTCATTTCGACAATAACTCCACGAGCTCGCACGTGAATCTCTGATTGCTGAGTTAAATGATGTCGGTCTGGGCGTACGGTGTGTACACAGACAAACGGAAATATGGACCACAACGGATCACTGATGTGATGGAACCATTTGGGAGGACTCCATTTCACCTCTCCTCTTAACTCTCAAAGCTTTCCCTAATCCTGGCCTTCCTTTCACCCATTGATCACCGTGCCTGAGGGCATGCCATGGGGTTAGAGCCTCTGAAGCTGTAGGGATTGGAGCACTTGGTGGTGTCAGCATGGGAAATAATCAGATGTATCAGCTCAGTGACAGTAGGGATCTCTCATTGCCTGCAAGTCAAACTTCTGTCCCTGCGTTTGTGCTCCTGCCTGCCTCACTGAAGACTGATGGGGGTGGATACTGAATGGTGGTACACAGATTACCCAGGAGGAGGGAGAAATATTGCCGCTCCTTACTCCAGGAGCCAAGACATCAATGTGGATTTGACAACATCACCTTTTCAAAAAGTACAGAAGGAACTAGTTGACATTAGCTGTTAAAGAAAAAACAGAGAATCTATCCAATCGGAACATCAGAGAGTTATAGAAAACCTGAGAACTCAATAACATTACTTGTATCTATTACATAAAGACCTGATTTCTCCTATAAAATTAGAATTTTCTGTACAGTGCTATATGAACAAAGCAAAATGACTTGCTACCTTCTCATAAACAGCGGTGTTATGAAAAGGCACGCATCATTTCAACCACCATATGGCAGGAAATTGTGGTCGTGCTCCATTTTGGTTTAGAAAAAATAGAATCATTCTCAACGTTAATTCACAAAAAACATAAAATACTTTGTGTGTGGCCATTGAAATTAGATTATCTTAATATTTTCCACAGACATTTGTTAGATTATCATGTAAATCCAACAGCGATATAAAAGGCCCAAAGTGGTCAATTTGGATCCCTTTTCCCACAGATAATCAAATTTGAGGTCCATTGATAAGTGGCGTTAAGCGCGAGACAGCGCAACGCCAGCCACGTAATACGAAAAAGTAAAAGTCAAATTCCCATTTGCATTGTTTGTGAGATTCTGGTAGTTGTAATACTGTTTTGCCTCATATTAAAGATATAACATTTGAAAAATACAAGTAATTTCTGCCTGTACACTTACAAATCCCATAGACAGAAAATAAAGTGCCACAATTCTTGGCCTGCATAGATTGCAGTATGCGGTATTGCACATTCCACACCTCTCTGTGAGAACAAAAAACATGATAATAAGAAAAGAAATAACCAATTAAACAAAACAAAACAAACAAAGAATTCACCCACGTACTTCCTGTCAGTACCGTTCTGGTTTGTGTGGCTTCCACAAACGCACCACTACTGTAGCACACTCGTCCAAGTGTCATGCTGAAACAATGAAACAAAATATTCCAGCAGTAAAATTGGAATCAAAGGCAACATACAACAGATATTTTCAGTCAGTGTAAAACAAAAGCGAGAAAGAAGACGAGAGAAAAAGAAAGAACTCCTTTGGGTTTAAGTTCGACTGAAAATTTTGTTCACAATTAAAACACAATAAATTACAGTCCAAGACACTACGGATGTACAAAAAATAAAAGATGCCTTTAACTTGTCAGCAGGATGGGATAAACTCGCAGTAGTATGGAACAAAATGTCAACGACATCAGGGCGCCGAGGACAGGACGATGAACACAATGCAGGTAAACAAAGCATAAGGAAAACAAAAACATAACTACTGTCATAATACATGTCATTACTGTATATGTTACTATGCAGCTGAGATAGATGAAAGCCTGTCAGTGTGCTTGATTTGGTCCATTGATATCAGAAGGAATATTGTATTTTTTTTGTGGTTATCTATCCCTTTTTGAATTGCCGAAATAGATACTGTAAAGCTTACATGTGTATTAATGACCAGATCTACTGTGCTGAATAAATAAATAGTCTTAACTCTGTTTTATGGAGTCTCACTTACCTACTGTAGAATTTATCCTACAACCAATCTAAACCTACTTATTTCATATTTTATTCTTAAAACTACTTTTAGATGTATATATCTGATGTCGGAGAGTAAATAAGATTAATTTCAGTGATTTGGATGGAATCAGAAGATCTTAAACTTTAAAACCTCTGACGCCACATGATAAATATCTTCAGTAGCGGTAGTATCTGATAGTTCCTGTCCTTACTGGTTACATACGTATTTGGCAACTACAGGTGTATGCGCTTTAAGGGGGGATCAAGGTGTTTTTTGTCCTTCTTGCCCACTGCTTTAATTCATAGACTGAATATCGGATGCTCAACTGAAAAAGTTCAACAGTCGTTATGAAAACCAAAAGCAACAATGTCAACGTTACAGTTTCGTACACCATTTGTCACACGAGAAAACATTACAGGGTCGTCATGGGAACACTTTGCATTTCCACAAAAGGTAATGATATGTTTTTTTTATAGGTCGCTACGATGCAACACCCAGTCTGAGGGCTCTCAGTTCAACCCCCTCCCCCACCCCTCCCTTTTCACATTGCAAATATTTGTACCTTCAGTGACAGTTTTCCGATGCCATCCTGTGCATTGTCATTGCCTTAGATGTCCTAGTATTTACAGTGGAGCGCTTTCAGCAAACTAAGCACCGTAAAATATCTGTCTTTTTTGAATGCATGCTTTTTACAGATTAGTCCCTCTGTGCATTTCCTTCTTTTGCTAGAAAAAGGAGACTGTCACTATGTACATTGGGAGGACCAAAGTGTCTACATAAGTTGATGAATTCCCTCTGCGTTTCAAGAGCCTCCTCTTCGAGCCCACTGTTTGCCCCAGAGTCATTCTCACATCTGCAATGGAGCACTGCAGTTTCTTTTTCAGCGATACACAACAACACAAGTAAAAGGGACTTGTCATGCCATGCAAAAATATCTTTTGTCTTTTCTTCCCCGCTCTCCCACGCGCCAGACTGAGGTTGCAGTGGGTTTATTGTCCCTCAGAGCTTCTCTTACAGTCACATGCTGGTTTCACAGGTCGGAGAGAGGCTGCCGTCCCCGGGTATCAGGTGGATATCTGTTGTAAACATGTGGTTCTCTACTTTGTGTCCACTTTGGTTGCTGTCAGCCTTGACTTCCTCGCCTGCCCCGACCACACCTTGGGTGCAATTTTGTGCTGCTGTCTTGGGTGACAAGGGCGCAACTGCGGCGCCCGCCACTTCCATCAGATGCTTCTCCTCGTGGTTCTCTGTGGCTTGATCTTCATCACCAGGTGGAGTGTCTACCACCAGCCGCTTTGGGGACAGCGGGCAGGTCTCCTCCTCTGTGACTGGGAGCAGCTTCTCTGTGCTGGGGATGAGCGGTGACGTCTCTCCATCCGGAGACTCGTCTTCCAGGATGCTGGAGCTGATGTCTCCAGGAGAGGTAGTGCTGGGCGGTGTTAGCGGGCCTTCAGCTGAGGTCTTGGTGAAGTTGACCTGCAACCCCTTTATATTAAGAGGGTTATTCCCTCTTGGAGAGCTCTGGATGTTATCCACGGCACTGTTAAAGCTCTCCCCTTCCTCTATGTGGAGCTCTGATCCATCACCTGGGTTGACGGATTCATAGAGGCCATCTTTGAGTGTGATGTGTGGAGAGTTGTCATCACTGGCCCTCAGCTGGCTAAGATCCAGAGCAGGTGGTGCTTTGGGGTGTCTGAATTGACAGGGACCTTCTTCTTCTTTTTTATCTGAGCTGGAGCCTTGCTCTCTAAAGTCTGCTGAGCAGCTCGCAAAGTTATCTGGCGAGGAGGGTTGGACCTCCTTCATCTCCAGCTCGACTTCCTCTTTTAATGTAAAGTCAGGGCTGTGGCTTTTCTTCGGTGAGACGGGGGCGGTCATGGTTGTGCTCAGAGTGCTCATGGAGCTTGTAGTGTTGAGGTTAGTGAAGGACTGTGACTTGGTCATCTGGTTGTACATCTCCTCCAGTTTCTGCACGTTAAGGTGCTGCGGGGTCCTGTGTGTCCGCTGGGGACTTCCAGTGGTGGTGATGGTTATGCGGTGAGGGGAGCTCTGCGGCTCGAGGTTTCTTTTATCTGGAGATTTCAGGTTTGTCTCGGAGGAGGCGTGCCTGGTGGAGCTGCCCCAGCGGTTAGGCAACAGGTGGTTGTCCAGAGTAGTTTTGTTGTCTCCTTTCTCCACCACCACATCCATCAGTTCCATACTGCGGGCGAAGGCATCTTTTAGGTTCATTGACACAATGCTGCCGTTCCTCTTGGCTCTCTCCAGCGCCTCCCTCCTCTTGATGGCCTTCTCCTGCCTCTTCTGCTCCTTGTAGAACTCGGAGAAGTTGTTGACAATAATGGGGATGGGCAGGGCAATTACCAGCACTCCTGCAATGCAGCAGAGCCCACCCACAATTTTTCCAAGTAAAGTCTGTGGGTAAATGTCACCGTAACCCACAGTAGTCATTGTAATGGTTGCCCACCAGAAGGAGGCAGGGATACTGGTGAATTTGGTGGCATCCTCATCTTTCTCAGCAAAGAAAACCAAGCTGGAAAATATCATAATGCCCATGGCAAGAAATAAAATGAGCAGCCCCAGTTCATTGTAGCTCCTTCTCAAGGTAAACCCTAGAGACTGGAGCCCTGTGGAGTGCCTGGCCAACTTCAGGATCCTCAATATTCTCATGATCCTGAAGATCTGCACCACGCGGCGCACGTTTTGGAACTGCAGCACGCTCCTGTTGGACTCAGTTAGGAAGATAGTGACATAGTAGGGCAGGATGGCTAACAAGTCAATGACATTCAGCGGGCCTTTGAAGAACTTCCACTTATTGGGAGAGGAGAGGAAGCGAAGGAGGTACTCCATGGTGAACCAGGCTATGCATACAGCCTCCACGTGGGCCAGCTGGGGGTTGTCGTTGGCGTTGCCAAACTCGTCTGTGACCTGAAGCTCTGGTAAGGTGTTGAGAGACAGAGCGATGGTGGAGAGGACGATGAACAGGATCGAGATGATGGCTAGAATCTGAAAAGAGAGCACAGACAGGAACAAAACATTAGCAGAATTCCAAGAAACTCAAGTGAGAAATGATTTTAATTGATTATTTATTAACTGAAAAACAGCATAAATACTAAAAACTTAAATAAATACACACTACAAATGCATGAGCCATAAAATGCTGAGTCAAGATAGAGATCACAGTCGATCCATCACTTTGTCTCTCTCAATCAGCATCAGCTGTTTGTGGCAGATGGGGCGCAAAGTGTGAATAATCATAGGTGTCTGATTTAAGTAAGGGACAGAAAAGGTGTGGAGTATAAATTATATGATTCTAAAGGAGGGTCTGTCTTTGCATCAAAGGCACTATGGGTCTGTTCTTGAATGTAAATGAGCCGTCTTCATGCATGTCACAGTACTGTTTATAAGGACAAAGGGAGGTAACACGGTGATCTAAAATGACAAAGAATGAATGCAACATTGCAGAAAAGATTAATGAATGAGGATAAAATTCAAATCAGGGGGAATAACTAGGCCAGAAATCTATTTTGGAAGCAGAGGAGTGTGTTTGTGTGAACTCATCTACAATAGATAAAAGGATTTTGGCTCCACCTGTTGGCACAAGTCTGAAATTCCCCCGTCTCAGAATATAATTTATTGCTTTCGCCGATAAAAGAAAAGTAACTGCAAACAAGTTTTTTAAAACTCCTATTTGTTCTTGTGAAATTTGCAACGCTTTGATATAGTTTCCTGCGCCCGCTGCTCAGTAAAGCGATGGGTAAGAACATCCTGCATAATCCTATAAGGTCAGAGCAGCATGAGGCTGCGTTTCAACTGCAGCGCTTTACTTTGGCCAGGATTTATTGACCTGGATAGATTAAATCTGACCTTAGATGTTCTGACTGAGGTTTTGTTTTTATGAAACGCGAGTGTGTGAGAGTTTGACTGTGACACCATGTTATGTGCTGAGTGTGTGTGTGCCTTGTTGGTGCAGAGTGAGAAGGACTGCAGGGTGCTCTCATCATTCGGCTCTTTGCTTCTTCAGTACCTCTCCATGTTTTATCTGTGCCTCTGCCTTACACCTGAAGAGAGATATAACTCCTTACAATTCTGCAGAGATTAGCTGATGTCCTTTTTTCCACAGCTCAACTCTGTCTGCTCAGCCCAGAGCCTCAACCCATACAGGTGAAGAGTTTCTGTCCTACAAACTATAGTACCACAGCACAATCTCAACGATCAACTGGAATCAAGTGCTTTAAAAAAAAAAAAAGCATTCCTTTGCCCTCTACGACCTGAGCAATATAAAACCTATTAAAATCTAATGAACAAAGATTGAAGAGTCTGAATAAAGACAGGGAAACAAGGCACACTGAATACTAATCACAAACCACATCAAGTTGCAGAACACACTGATTATCTTACATAAATTGACACAGTGCAGTCTGGAGACAGTCGCTGCATGTCCTTTGAGACTTCCCCAGTCGAGCAAATATCACCTAACAGTGAAAATCATGCAGGGATGGAGCTCAAGGATTTTGCAGAAGTGTTCAGGGGTCAGCCATTTCTATAGTCTATCCATTAGCCTCTAGCTACAATGATACACTGGGAACAAAAGCGTCCATACGCTAGTGACACCATCTGAAAAAGGAGTAAGAAATTCCCTCTATTAGGCGAGAAAGGGAGACAGATAGCAAAATAGAGACAAGGGGGTGTCATGGCTCAGCAGAAGAAGTGTTATCACTAAATGAATGCTGCTGCTGATTAGGTTAAACCTATTAGCAGCTAAGTGAGGCAACCTGGGCCGGGCCTGGCAGCGAGCTGAAAGACTGTGGAGTCACAGTAAGGACGCACATTGCTTCCATACCCCTGAACTTTTTGGCAAGCGCATTTGACGCTCACCCCTTGTTGCCAAGCCACTCGATCAGAAGACCTTTGCTTGTGTTCCTGTTGCTGAACACCTTGGCACCAAGTCAGCCCCAATGGTAGAAGAGTAGATTAGAGCGTGAGATAATGATTTTGATCAGTTTATAAGCTTAATTGTGGTGAATTGCGTCGCTTGCGCAGCTGGATATTTCAAACACAGGTTCAAAAATAAATAAGATTTATTAAAAAAAATACACACTGAAGGTTAATCATTCTCTAGAGGTCAGCTATTCTTTATTTAGATACACATTAGCTGCCACAGAGGAGGCAGTTAATCTTCTTCTGTTTCACAGTTTGGAGCAAGCGAGCCCTTTAAAACTGCAGCTGAGTGGATGGACTTGCACACAAAGACACTCACAGACGCAGAGAGAAAGTGATTAATGTTTTCACTGACCCACACCCATGCAATCTCACCTTCCCACACACCCATGCACCCCTTGCTCACGGACACCAGCGAATGGCATTTGAGCATGAGGATGAGCAATGCTGAAGTGGCTTGCATTAACCTACTGTAATTGAGTGGGAGTAGTTAAGAAGATCAATTACTTGGACTCAGTCTTCTTTGCCCCTGATTTGCATGTGCGGTGGCATTAAGTATAGCATCACATGCCGTGAGGGCTGGATTAAAAGACGGAAACAAGCGCAGCCACGTCAGTTGACCTGGAAGTGACCCAGGGGAGGAGAGCCAACAGAGACAGGAAATGAAACAAGATATTTCACGGGACTGGACACTTTCAAATCTCTGGACAGGAGTACAAGAGTGAGACAACTGGGATAAAAACATCACTAGTGCCCTGATCATTTTACTGAACTGATCAATGCTACCTGCTGACCAAGCTGTCTGCATACATACCTACAGTGCTGTCTGAGATGCTGCTTGTATTAAAGGTTATTGCTTTAATCCTGCATAGTTAAAATAAAAAAGGATATTTGTGACTTGATTTCAAGGCAAACAGCTAAACAAATGGAAGCTGTCATAAGTCTGCCATAAATAAAGATTATATGTAAGCCCTTTCCCTCATCTTCCTCTCTCTATCTTCCCTGTTCCTGTGACGGTTTTGACCTCAGGATGCGGTCAGGTCATGGTCAGGCCAGTCATGGGACCTGATTGGCTTAGACAGGAAGGTAAAGTCTTCAGATGATTAGGCGATGTGTGACATGCTGTAGTCGTCCGTGGCTACTCAGGTGCTTTCACTTTCCCTCCCCTATATTCTACTGCACAGACAGCTTAGCATGACTGTGCTGAAAAACTGCTTCACTTTGAGACTCACAATGAGATGAGAGACAGATGGACAAAGAAAGAGAATTATCGGATGTCACATGACTTTTATTTTTATACAATACTCCCAGGATTTCCCTGGATTCGTTGGTCTTTACTCCTGAGCACATTATAAAACACAGCATGAAAAAAAAAAAAAAAATCACTTGACAAATGTCCTAACAAACAAAAAACCAACTGGCTCAATCCCTCAAGGGACAGCCTAAAAAAATAGTGTCGGCAGTAGTTTAGTAAAATATCCTTTGCGCATCAGGGGAATGAATGCAGCTACAGACAACCATCCTCACAATTTCAATTCCACAACACCTTTGAGGTACTATTAGATCCCTTGGGAGACCTGAGTAAGGAGTGTGAAGTTGATCCAGAGGAAAGAACACACAGGAGTCACTGAGTTAAGAGCTCTCTCGAGGCTCTTCTCTGTGCCTCTCTTGATTTCCATCTTCAGCCACCTGTCATCTCAACCACTACTCTTGAAACTGTGAGAATCACCTTTCCCCATTCTCTTTTCGTTCCCACAGGAGGCAGTCAATAGGCCCACTAACTCCTTTCTAAATGTCCTGTCATCAGTGACAGCCCTGTGATCGCACGGTTACACCCCTACTTCTGCCTGCATTGCCATCATTCCTCAGTATGAAGGAGGAAAGGTGCTGTGGGAAAGAAAAATAACCCACACCACACCGGTGGCCCATCTGCCAGCTTCGGGGAGGCTATCGATTGTGTACACATCACATTATGGACACTGAGCCAAGACCAGTGAGCCCCTATTGATCTCCTTGCTCAGAGCTCTTATGGACCATGATCCACCTCTGAGGTCCCCACTCACTGTCCCGCCCTCCCCTTGTGTCATCAATTTATGCTGGACAAATTGAGCCATTCCTCAGGTATGATAATTTTTTGCTGCGGAATCAATCCAGGCGATTATGGCTATGGTAATGTGGATTGATCCCGGGACTTGTGCACTACTTCATCTTCTGAGACTGTATCTCTTCCAGTGGGACGACCCAATCAAAGCATGCATGAGAACTGGGTGTCACATTGCTGCTCATGGCTTGTGCATGCATTGCAACACAGGGTAAGTTGTTAATTTAATGAATTATCGTACTAAGTTTACATGAACCAGTGGGCGATTTCATTTCATTATTCAGACCACTGGCTCCATATGCTGGAAATGGCAAAGTCTTACTCCTAAATGTGCACAAATTCTGTCAGCAAGCCAATACCAGCAATTAATGAGAGCACTGAGTGAATATGGCACTTTTAAGGAACCTGGCACACACGCTTTGAGAGATTTCTAAAGCATGGGTAGTGAGGGTATGACTTGAATACATGCATCCTCAGAGAGATTCATGATTAATCAACAAAGGAGGAAAGACATCTTCCCTCCCACTCTGTCAAGATTCTGCTGGTCGAGTGCCTTTTCTATGGCTAGTTTCCAAAGACTTCAAAGAGAGAGAAAGGCAGAGGGGGAATGTGATATTTGGTGGACCTCCACTGTTTTGTCCCACAGCTCCTCCAAGGTTCAGAGAGATTTGGAGAAATGCCACCCTTATTACAATTTGGGCCTCAATTCTAAAGCCATTAGTCTGTGGACAGGATAATTGAGTTCATAAAGCACTGGAGAGAAAAAAAATGCAAAACTGAGTCCCTTGAAATGGCCCCAATATGTGTGCAATTGAAATATGTCCCAAGCTTTTTCCTATTCTTTTTTTTTTTTACAACTTCTCAACAGAATCTGATAAAACAAAACCACTCCAGTGTCCATCTGGCAAACTATTTTTGGCAACTCCAGTGGGAGTTTAGTGCATAATAATAAAGGTTTATTATT